GCAACCAATTTATGCAAAAAGAAAAACATATTTACAAGCAGACTTCTTTTTATTTAAGCGCTTCTAGTAATGGTATGACGTCATAAATGTACCAATGATGTAGAGTAATGTGCAAATGTGGGTTCGAGTCTTAGTTGACATGAAAATTTTACATATCATACCACTCTACATCGCTGGGTACATGTTTATAAAATTTCGGTAAGAATTCTTAAATTATCTGGCGAAATTTATGAGAGATTTAGCGCATCTCTGGTTGGAGAAGCGGACCTTCATTTCATGCCTCTTTCGTTGAGCGGCATTTGTGTGGAAACCATTGCTCATAGGCGAGTGCATGCCCTCAAGGAACAATTTCTAAAATCCGCACTACATCAAATTTTCTATTGCGTCCTTAGACCCTCCTTATGGAGAGATCTCTAACTGGCTGGTCGCGAAGCCACATGGTGCATGCTCAGGTGGCCCATGGGAAAATCAAACGCATGTTATAGTGTCCATTTACTTCTCCGAAATGTAAGTAGATTCAGGAAATTGATTCCATGCCTCCGCTGCGTTAACTTGACATATACCTTAGTTTCTGCGCGTTAAGCTGACTAAAAGGCAACAATGAGGATGTGACTTGTAGACTGGAAAGCGTCCAGGAAAACCCTGCAAGAAGCAAGTTCTTCCCTGTGCTGAGCAACGTCTACGTGTGTATTATAGGTAAATACAGTACAATAGCTACGCCCTACTCCCTGATTTCGAAACTTTTCGATGCTGCGACGTTGGGTTAGACGACTTCAGGAAGGCTGATAATAATCTCAGATCATTCTGGGCTCCGTAAATCTCAAAAAACAGTGTTGACTTATGATGTACCCATAACATCTAGCCCTGAATGTACTTCATACTTTCCTGCACTCGCCGCCAATTTTAGTTTCTCTACGTCACCGATGAAGCCCCCTTCGTCCGAATACGCGCATTGCAGGAATCGTCAGCGTTGGCGCTTGCGTTAAGCGAAAAATGGTCCTAACTTTAGGAGGATGGGAGTTCACTATGCGTTATCAAATGCCTAGAAAATGGTTTGTGCTAAAAGCATTCCCCTTTATCAAACAGGAAAAATTAAAATTTTGACCTTGTTGAACCGTCAAAAATTGGAGATGCCTCATTACACTCCAAAGTGTGATGTGTTTAGTAGGTCGAACACCAGATTTGCTTCGTTGGGAACTGATGCACACGTGTCTTCGGCGATCTGGCGACTGCAATCCTCTGAATGTCATACACGCAGCACTATGACCACTGACTCGATAGCCAAAGTTATTTGTAAATCTTTTGAAGATGAAGTTCAAAAGTTTCTGCAGCAAAGAGAGCTCTAACACGTGATATTGAAGAATTTGAGATTTTTCTGATACCTACAGCGCATGCGGCGCAGCGGTTAAAGGTGCTCTGCGTCTCACACGAGGTCAATGGTTCGATCTCGCGCTCATGGCTGACCAAGCCATCCAATTCTCGGGGTCGGTAAATCGGTACCAGACTGGTTTCAGACTTGTCTGGGAGGATAAGCAGCACTGACTCGTTACAGCGAGAGGCCACCACGAGTCATTGTTAAGGTCAGAAATGCGCTCAATCACCTTGACGAATTTAAAAATTGAACAAGAATGCATGGCGCAATCCCTCAGGGATTGACCAGTGCCTACAGCTTTATCCTAATATCCCTTAGCGGCGGAGTATAATCTGAAACCTAGCAGGGAAAATGCTGAGATACACACAAAACTGGAAGTTTGCTGAATGCGTAGTGGAATCAAGTCACTTCTATCCTATCCAGGGCGCATACACTCCACGTTAAGAATTCAAAACACCGCTAAGAAACACGAAGGAGCTTCTTGATGATACAGCGCCAGCGTTCACATCTCTAAAAAGAGTAGTCGCTGTTTGAGCTCATCCATGATATCCACACCAATTTTAGTGTTTTGTTCGTATCTGAGCATTCTTGTGACTATACCAAACGGACTTTGATAATGGTTAGGTAGCTAATTAATTCTTTGCTTACCGCGAGTTTAACTCTTAGGCAGTGTAATATGGTGCAGTCGAGTAGAAGAATCAGGACTAAAACACCGTTTGGTTTGAAGTTCTATGAAGACGTCCATCACATAACCACACGTTCTATTGGAGAAGTCTCACGTCCACTTCAGCTTGTCAAAAACGATAAAGCAGCTCATGGCTGAAGGAAAAGCAACATATAATATAAAGGAATTCTCCAAAAATTTTGCACGGACATGACACTGCAGCATGCGAGATTTTGAGTCGCGCGCATTACATTAGCACATTACAAGCTTGTTCCTTCTAAAAACATTATACATCGCTTAAATTATCGTGAATTGCGCTACCGATTGACCACTAAAACTTTGTATAAAAGAAGACAGAATTTCCAAAAATCGATGCGGGTGCGGATAACGAAACAGTAAAAGTATAATCAATTGGTTAACTAATGGAATTGAATCGTGAGCAAGGACACGGCCTCGGACGGGAGTTGAACCGGCGTTCCATTCATAACTGGGACTCATGCTATCACTACACTATCGAGGTACATTTACGCCAACACTCATTCTCAAAATCTCTATGATAGCTGTCAGCCACCAACCTTCAACAGGTTTGGTCGGGTACGCGATTTCACTTTATAAATCCAGCTGAGCTGACAGCTATTGTGATAAGTAATGATCAAAATTTTCAGTGTTTTTACTGCTTTTTTCGCAGTGTTATAATGTTTCACATATACCTTGAAGAATGGTCGAGCGAATTTACCTATATGGTGTAGTGATTAGACGCGGCCCCGGTATGGATGAAACGCGGGTTCGACTCCCGTCTGAGGTCGTAATTTGGTCCGCCACTAAATTCTCTCAGGTATATCTGAAACATCATAACGCTGCAAAAAAAGGCAGTAGAACAACTAGAAATTCCGAATATTTGATTAACGTTTCGACATTCTCATTATTCTTGAAGTCAGGTTGAACAGAGATGAGAGTCAATAGCTGGTTGATATTGCGATAAGTCCACTTGTCTTTGGATCGAATGAAATCTAAGAGAACGATTTTCGCCCAATTGACAGATTTTCTCTATAGTTCGATTTTATGAAAGGCGTATTATTGCACTACTGTCATCCAATATAATCTGGTATTAGCACCGAAACATCCTTTAGCATTTGGCAGTTTATTGGCGGGTAAATAGTAAGCACATGAGCTGACTTCGCTGTGTACAAGCTAATATATGACCGACTACAACTAGATCTCCTGCTGTCAAGAAGCGCATCATTATGGATGACGACAATATTTAGGCAACTGTCCTGCAAGAAAGGGTACTGCCAGATGGAATCCATTTTTCGAGCGATACTCCATCTCACTAAACTTAATTCCGTTCCAAAACATGCACCCACATTGCGAGGACAAGCATCTAGGCGTCCCAGACGAATCAGTGAGGTTTTGATGAGCACGAGGGCGTTAGAACGCCACCAGAATGACTGTTTTTGAATATCAATTATTGTTCCCGAATTCTAATGGAAGTCAGTTGTCAATAGTAAACTGCGTAAACGTGAAAACTCACTTTAAAATTGTGGCACTATATGTAAGAAGCCGAGGATTCAGCAGATCAAGACGATGAAAGCGGTATCCTTTACAGTCAATAAAAAAGAACCTCGTAGAGGTAACGCTATGGCAATCAGTGCGTGCAGGGAGATGGCAAGGTGTAGACACCCACATTCTGCAGCACAATACTCTTCAAACTGAAGAGTTTACCCATGAGTTCTACCGATATCACACTTTCACTGCAAGTGATGAGGTTTTCTTTTTTATTTGCATTGCGGAATTTCTACAAAATTATTTTTATGTTTGAATCATTAATCACTTCCTAGTCACTTGATTATACATTTTGTTATAAGTCTATGAGTTTTTCGACTAATAAGAAAAGTAAGAGATAAAGAGAAATTGATAGTTCAGAGTGAAAGGGCTCCTATTACTGGTTACAAATAATTAAAACAGTTTTACGATAGCCATAAATCCTCACGCCTTACAAAAATGTCACGTGTGTAGTTCAGAAGACGAAGACCAGTAGAATACGCATATTTACAATTCTGTCAGAGAAGCATAGCAAGCCAAACGAATTCCGCAATGCCGGATTGTATCGCACTGCCATCATAGAAGTGGCACTCGGGATCAAGCCAAAAACTCCTACCTGAATGTTATACTTTTCCTTCCGTCCAATATAAAGGACAAACTGCACAGCCCAATTTCTGAAAGGAGCAATGAATAGGCTTCGTGTTTTCAGATTCCATAGACGGACATGGCCCGATACCTTTTGCAATGATTTATTATGAGGTTAAAAAAGAGTTGTGGAAAATTTTCAAACGATTCATTTTTTGATATCTTTTTGTCGTTTTTTATTGATGGTTCTGTTATACTTATTTAGATCTTTAATTTCAGCTCTACAATGCCTATCGAAGTATGATATGTTTTTTTGAAGTTGAAGAAACATGTCAAGAGTTATTCGATTCAAAGGAGCCGGAATGGTATTTCGAACAAATCGGGAATCTTGTAGAATGGTTGCAGAAAGTCACAGACATTGAAAAACAGTTGTTGCTGTTTTTCATTAAAGCATATTTTTATGAATTTTTCAGAATTTTCTTCTTGACGCTAGCACTATAAACTCTTTTCTCTTCGCAAGTGATTAAAAAATGTGTACATTAAGAGTGTTGTATGGAAATACGGCAGATGTTACTTATATACGTAAGAGAATTGAGTGGTGAGCGAAGAGGCGGCCTCAGGTGGGAATCGAACTCGTGTTTTTGCTCAGCACTCAATTCTCTTAGGTATATATGTAACATCGTAACACTGCGAAAACAGTAAAAATACTAGAATTCCGAATGGCTGTCAGCACAACTGGAATTATGAAGCGAAATCGCATACCCGACTAAATCTGTCAAAAGTTGATAGCTGATAGATAACATAGAAATGTTGAAGAATGAGTGGTGGAGCAAATGTGCCTCGGGGGTGTAGTGGTGTAGCACGCGTCACCGGTATAGATGAAACGCGGGTTCGATTCCCGCCTGAGGCCTTGTTTTTGCTCACCACTCAATTCTCTCATGCATATATGAACATCATAGCACTGAGGAAAAAGCAGTAAAAATGCTGGAATTTCGGAGTATTGCACATCTCACTTTTAATCATGATGAAAGCTCTGAAGTAAAGTGATGCAAATGCTCAGTCTTAGGGAATGAACATTTGAAGTTCCTAAGAAGCCAATTTTCAAAAAGTATAATTTATAAAAAGGACAGCGTAAGAGTTACTGCTATTATGATAACTGACACTACAATATTCTCTGCCTGAACGTACATGGGAGTGGACGAGAGGCTCGGCACTTGAAAAACAAATCGGTTTCCTATTGATGAAAATTTTAGGGCCGGCAGCGGTGGTGGTACAAGAGATAAACGGCAGGCACCAATCTCATGCTCTTAGCCACTTGTTTGAGAAACAATTATAAAACTTTCACATAAAGTACTTGACCTCGTTTTCACATCAGTCGTTTGGCATAATTTATTTCGAAATATACATTTGACATAACTGTCTACGGCCTGAAATACCAAAATTTTCCACGCTTTGAATCCTTCACGCCATGTCCTCCAGTAGTTTAAAGGCCGTCTCATAGGTGAAGATTGTTAATCTGGGAGTTGATTCCAATTATCAGATTCGTGCTGCAGGCGTTATCCCGAAAGTAATGAGTTTAGTCACCGCACTACATAGCAAGAGGCTCGTAACTAACTTACTCCAACAAACAACAAATCAAAATGCATCAATAAAAATATGATGTTTTCAGTGTCATTCATGATTAGTCAGTTTACCGAGAAGTTTCAAGATGCATATCGACACTGTTCCCTTGAGTTGCTCGGTGCACACGAGTGATCTTATCACCTTGAGCATGCAATATAAGGAAGGATGTTTTTTCGCTAATGATGAGGCTGAAAAGCCGAAACATACAATACGCTTAGCACTATATAAGTGTCATAGCAAAACTCATGAAAGTTTTGAAATGTTGTCAGATTATATATATCTCATACCGTTACTGGCTTGATTAACAAATTGGAATGATACGCTGTGGCAGTATGGAGCAGTAAGTGGATATAAACTAATTATTCTCAGTCTCAACAGCGTATTTGAAGCTTTTCATGAAAGATTCATAAAACTGTGACGAAGTGTCACTGTGAACTCCTCGCACTCGCCGACTGAGTTTGAACATTGTCACAATTGCTCAATGTGTAGCTTTGCGAGTACTACGTGTGCCATGACTTTGACACACATAATCAACTGTTTCATGCATCTCTGACTAATCATTTTTTCAAGGTGACTATAAAAGTAATGAAAGTACATAATTGGCTTTATTGAGGTCAGCTGACTTCGAACTGCTGGAAACACCATTTCCATATTTGTTGTACCATTTTGGGTGGCTAAGCACAGATCTACAAATTAAAAAATAAAGCACCATCGGTGTCGTCCAGAAAGCCAGGAAGGATAGAATACACATGTTAGCAATATTATGCGAGAGGCACAACAATGGCTCCGTGCAACCGGATTATATCATATTGCTAGTTTTCTGTGCCATAAAAGACAAGAGAAATCACTTGTATGTGAAATCCATAGTTTTCCATTTTCTCTTAAAAACTTAAGTTATGCAGTCTATTTTTAGATTCAAGGCGCAATTAGATTATGCAGTCTCACATTTTATGGCATGAAGCTGTAAGTGTTCCGTCTGGGCGTCAGAGTGCAATAGTAGTATTCGGTAGGATTTGGAATGGGTTCGCCAATCTTTACGGAGTCGGCCACAAATGTTGTTTCGTATCACGATACCCTTTCATTACTGCTTAGCTACTTCTGAAAGTTCGGAGGTAAGTTCGCAGTTTCACCTGACCTACTCGAATACACTCTGGCGTTTTGGTTCGATGTTTGTAAACATGGCTTTCTCTCAGTGACTTTAAACTTGCGGCGTCTTGGCATGATAAGTGGCGCAAACTGAGTAGTAATATAGACAACATCCGCCATGAAATATGTGGTGAACAAGTGCTTAATAAAGGCATTGGCGTGGTGCATAACTCAAATATGTCTCCATGTCTAAACTTTATCAGTTTATCCTTTTAGACTTTTAGAAACGAATTTAGTTTTTTATCGGCGGTTAAGAAATTAGCAAGCAAACATGAAATAAGTATATGTCATTCAGTTTATGCGTTCACCGCCGTAATGTTGCATCCATTGACAGCTGTTTTTCTTTTTTGATTGACCGTTAACTGATGAGTGGTTGCCACGTTTTGAACGGTCTGAAATGAAAAGACTCTGATAATATGAGCGATAACAAATCTGAGTTAGGGAATCTTCGTAGCCAAACGTAAAAAGGGCGATGGGGATACATACCACGGTGTGCTTTGTAGGCGACGTTTTCATACCGAGATGAGAGAAACGGAAGTGGAACAAAATAACAATAAGGCTGTAAAATATACATTTCGAACTAAACAAAGTTAACATCACGAATATGATTCTGACTTGAATGAAATAAAATCTTTTTTCGCTATTACGAACTTGAACAAGGACCCTTCACGCCCGATGTGCACCAGCTATATTTGAGCTCTAAGATAAGTTCAGGAGTCTTCCAGAGAAGCTGGTGTGATTAAAACTCTACTGCTTCCATTATACTCTTATGAACAGAAGAGTGGGTAGCTCAGCCTTCAGGTGTAGTCTTCAGCAATCTCCTAATCGTCGGGTTTATAATGCATCCAGAGCTACTAATCCTTCCATTCTTCAGAGAATTAGCACAATAGCACTCGACTTGCCTGGAAGGTTGCCAGAAGTGACTTCATACGTCGGCAGAGATCAATGGCCTTTGTACAAACCGGTATACATTCATTAATTTCCAGCAATTCTCATTAAATTCGAATAGATAGCCCATACTTCAACAGTTGGTTGGGGAAAGCAAAAACCTTTTATGTCAAATTGCTCCGATCTCTATTTGCGCTCGAATATTCTGCGTGTCACAACGTACACCGGCCAAATCTAACTATACGGAAAGTTTAGTATAAGTGAAATAATACCTACCCATCTAGTGCATGGCATAACTCCCACTGAAATGTGCCACTGAAGAAGACAGCCCAATGATTTTCGGGACGAATACTATGAGAGCTAATATGTTGAAAAATAAATACCGCATTTTCACACAATGCCTGTAACCAATCATTCAATATGAAACACTAAATTCATGAAGTTTGGCGAAATTCTTGGATTAATAGACTACATTCATGGTCAACTGAGCGTTTACCTGCTTGAAGAAACGGATTTCCATTTTCTGTCTCTTTCGTTGAGCAGCATCTGTGCAAGAATCATCACGTTTGTGAGACTGCATGCTCTTAAGCCATAAATTTACAAATCTCCATCACAAAATTTTTATATCTGATACCTTGTTGCCGCATTTACATAAAAAAATTCATGATGTAATCCACGAGCCACCTTAATAAAGGGATTTGTAGCTAAGTGATTGCAAAGCCACATGGAGCTCACCCAGATAACATATGGAGAAAACCAAACGCGCAGCAAAGAGACCATATATTTTACAGTTAGACGCAAATTCAACAGACACAATTCATGTTTCCGTTCTTCGTATTTGGCGTATTCTTTCTTACTATAAAATTAGCTAAACGCCAACAATCATGAGCGGGACAGGTAAACTAAGAGGTGGCCAGCAGTCACCTCCAACAAATGTGTACCTCTCTGTTCCTTTGAGGAGCACCGACTAGCTACTTTCAATATACAACATCCATGGTCACAGCTTAGCAAGGTATATGTGAGTTTTGAAAAAGATAAGCACAGTATTGGGTCTCGTTTCCCTGATACAGTAGAGCTTCTATTACGGCATTCTTCTGGACTAATTTGGTAAGGCTGGTGAAATTTTAGGTCTTTTCCAGACCACATAAATCTCCGAAAACGTAACTGAATTATATTGTGTCTTCAATATTTATCCGCGCTTATAATGCACGTTAAGTTGCACTCTAAAGAGGGCCTGATCATGCACACAAGAAGTATTAGGTACTTAGTCCACGTCCTACTTCGAAGGGAAAACGTCATCTAATATATTTGACGCTGTTTATGACACTGGAGAAGAACTGTCCATTGAACATGTGATCCTATACGAGTTAGCCTGTCAATTATTCTTTGAGCCATGCATATGGTCTGTTATGAGCAATTGTGCAGCCCAATACACGTGTTTCGGCCTTAGCAAACTTGTCACTCGGGCAGGCCCTTCGTCTTTAGCCAATGCTCTTATGTAGGCAGTTAGGTTCCCCGAGAGCATTGGCTAAAGACAAAGAGTCTGTTCGACTAGCAAAGGCTGCTAAGACCGAAACACATGTATCGGGCTGCACAAGTATTTATAACAGACCATATGCGTGGCTCAAAAAAATAATTAACGTTATATTAAAATTTGAGCGTAGTATTTTCAAAATAACATATTCATTGAATACTAACCGCGCGCTTGAGTCTAAGGCAGATTAACGTGGTGCAGTCGAGTAGAAAGATGAGGACCAGAACGCCCAGTTTTGTATAGAACTCTATGTAGACGTCCATGACTTGAGCGCATGTTACATTGGAGAACATCCATGTCCACTTTATTGTATTGAAAAAGAAGAAACAGCTTTCAACTGAAAGAAAATTCACTATAATGTGGATTAGACATTAAAAGTTTGTACACAATAAGTTAGATAAAAAATTGGTTTTCAATGCGATTTTTGCAATATTTTGCTGCAAAAAAAGGCGAGACTGATAATCAAAGGATTCTCTAGAGACCTCGATTCCTTAGCTTTAAAGTTTGCGAATCACATCCCAGTCGTCTTTTCTGCAACCACATCATCACCCCAAGCTCCATTAATTTTACGCACCGTTTCACTAGCGTTTTCCCCATGTGTCATTCATGGACGAGTAGAAAGCGGATTTGTCCTCAAGACAACTCCATCTTCAGAAGGTATAGGCAATTTGTATACAAGTTCGCTTATGCAAAATGTTTGCAAGAAAATGCGTAAATGA